CTATCTTGTTTAACAGAAACTGCTATGTTTTATGGAAGAAAGGACTGTATTACTTTGGTTTTACAGAAACTACTATATTTCATGGAAGAGAGGACTGTATTACACTGTTTTACAGAAACTGTTATGTTTTATGGAAGAAAGGACTGTATTACTCTGGTTTTAAACAAACTGCTATGTTTCATGGAAGACAGGACTGTATTACACAGGTTTTAAACAAACTGCTTTATGTTAAACTATTTCTATCGATGAAGTCAATCAAGTATGGGAATCTTTAGTGAGGTATATAACAGTACCAGAACTGAAATATCCAATATTCTATTTCATGATATCAAAATTCATTTCTTTAACGTTGTTTTTAACCCAAAATATAGTTGTTGTTACTCGGACATCACACAACTATCTCTTTCACGTGGGACTGACGTAACCGTTTTCATGTTCACATTGGATGCGAACAATAATTTTACCGGTAATTACTGTATGTGGTTCTACTGAGATGAGTGCGGGATGAGGGTTTCCTTGTTTTCCGCCTCATACTTTGTATCATTGTCAGACTTGTTTTTCTTGTCTTATTAATATAATATATTACAAAACCCGCAGCGCCCCCATGTTACATCCTCTAATTGTAGTAAACCAGATGTTGCAAGGTGTCAGTGCCCTCGCTCTACCTTCACTATATGACGCTTCCAGAATGACCAATTCAGATCGTAGCTGGCACGTGCGGTACCTGTAGCTACCTCTGAACAATATTAGAAATCTCTTTCATTTTCTAACCCATTTCAGATGTTTGCCTCCACTCCCAGTGCACTGTGTGTAATACTTCAATAACCAAGTGATTCTCGGTCAGGTAGGTTGTGGTTGCCTAGCAACAGTTGCTTTACTAGGTCGAGACTAACTAAGGTTTCTCCTGGTATTTAAGTGGTGACCACGTGGCTTGTAACAGTCAGAAGATCGTCAGAAAGAAGCTAGAGAACTTTCAAGGCAGAAAAAAATGTTTGAAGGAATTTAACTTTGATGCCGGCGCTATAAACATTTAAACTGGTGAGTTTGTTATTTTCCTTTCTGTTCTTGTTTTTTGAATGTAGTTTTTAACAAAATAAAACAACGCCTAATTTTTCCCTGTTTGCTGTTTTATAAAACCGCTAATATTGGACATCAGCGTTAAATAAAATAACTTCCATGCGTTACGTTAATGCATCGCAGGTTGTCCATCGTACGGTCTTCTGTATCTCAATATGCTCTCAATCTTTGATCTATAGACAAATTTAACAAAAAAGGTTACACGAATAGGATTTATTAATTAAAGTAAACATAAACACCTCTAGTCGAATGTCAATTTCAACACGAATATTGGACGTTACGTCTACGATAGCAACATTAAGGTATAAAATAGTAACACTTTAGATATTTTAACTGCTGTCATCATCGTCCAGAGATTTGGTGTTAAACTGAACTTCCCCCTACTTGACAGTGTCTTGTAGCAGTCAAAAGATGAACCCTTTTTTTTTTTTTACTTACTTCAGATCTTGGACTAATATTGGATTAATGAAAACTAATATGTAAAGGAAGTCCAATTTAATTAATATTGTGATAATGTTAAAACCTAGAAGTTGTTGTTTTATGAGCGCAAAGTTACACGTTGGGTAATCTGCACTCTGTTTACCATAAGGAATTGAGTCTCGGATTTTAGCGTTATGTGCCGCTGCCCCCCGAGGGACAAAATCTAGAGAAATTTAAGATATTATCGACAGCTATTTTACAAAACGTAATATACATATTTATTTCACTAAAAGTACTGAGATATGACAATAAATAAGTTATACAGATTAGATAACCTTGTGCTTGGCGTGGTCTAACGGTTAGCGTACCCCAAAACAAACAAAAAAAAAACTACTGCTGTAATCTCTCTTCTTGTTTATTTTATTTTTCCTCCAAACACTGCTGTAATTTCTCTTCTTGTTTCTTTTCTTTTTCCTTGAACAGCTACTGTAATCTCTCTTCTTGTTTATTTTGCTGTTCGAGCTGCCATTGTTGCAGGTTTACTTGCAACTGCTGTTGATCTCTCTTCTTGTTTCTTTTGCTGTTCTTGTATTGTTGTCATCAAATCTGCTAAGCTGTAATTTGATTTGCCACCTCTCGTTTCCCTCTTCTTCTTCTTCTGTTTTTTATTTTTATTTTCCGTTTCACTCTTTGACATCAATTTGCTAGGTCTGTGTTCGTTTGTTAATTTTCCGTAGAAATTCTTTCCCAGAAACTTCAGCGATATCAGTCCTTTCTTAAATAAAACTAGTTTATTCTTTCTCAATACAACTTTGTAATACACTTAATTTCCACAGTCACTTTAACTTAAACACATGCTATAATGCTATAATTCACTTACTACCACGCTTGACTCAATTGTCCGTCTCTATCTCTGCCTGTCTGCAATTCAATCTACGCCGTCACTTTATTTGCCGGCTTATATACTATAAAAGTGCGAGTCTAGCAAACGCTCGATTCTTCAGGAACGTTCGAGATACTCATTACGTGTTACGAGCGTCACGTGACTTCCGCTGTCGTAACAGTATAAAAGTCTAATCGTCCTTTTCTTTTCATATAACAAGCAGCTATAGTTTACAGTTCCTTTAAAGTTCTCAGTTCTAATATTTTGAAAATCGTTTGTGCTTTTGACAGGAATGGAGACTTGTCCAGCAAATGGAGACACTTCAAATACGTCTGTAATACAATCAGGAACATTGAAAACACACTACGTGCTCGTTATCTTAGGATCATCAAGAGTTGGGAAGACAGCCATCGTACAACAGTTCCTCTATGACACTTTTCCTGATGTCTACAAGGCCACTGTTGAAGAGTTCCATCGAAGTGAGTACAAATTGAAGGATTTTGTCTTAACCCTCGATATTCTCGACACCAGTGGAAGTTACGAGTTTCCGGCGATGAAGAGATTAGCCATAAACATGGGTGATGCTTTTGTTCTGGTTTATTCTATAGACGATGCCCAGTCTTTCGAAGACGTGTGCAGGGAGCGAGAGTACGTTCAGCAAGCAAGGTCGCTAGATGTCCCCATTGTCGTCGTGGGTAACAAGTGCGACCGCGAAGACCACAGGGAGGTCGGGAAAGAGTTGACCGAGAGCGTGGTAACGATGGATTGGGAGAATGGATTCGTTGAAGCCTCGGCTAAGACTAAGATGAATATTTTCGAAATTTTTAACGAGCTATTGGCCCAAGCTCGTGCCCCGAGTGAACTTTCTGTCTGTTTAGAACGTAGAAGGCAGTCTCTTCCAATCTTCAGTGTGGCACCGAAGGTGAAATATGATTTGGACCTAAAGCGCCACAGTTGTGTGATTTCATAAATTACCTAAAAGCTTCAGATATTGGTGATTTTAACCCAAAACTTTGAAACATATGGTTATTATATTTGAATAAAACTTCTAATATATCGCTTGTTGAAGTAAATGTAACTATTTGATGAAATAAACATATTTTAATGATATTGGATATTGGAAAGTATCCTCAAATATACTGTTACGTCTCTGGCTGTTTGTTAATTTCCGGTATAAATTCTTTCCGAAGAACTTCAGCAATACAAGTCCTTTCTTAAATAAAACTAGTTTATTCTTTCTCAATACAACTTTGCAATACACAGAATTTCCACAGTCACTTTAACTTAAACACACGCTATAATTCACAACGATTCACGCACTTTACTTACGGTCACTACCACTCGTTTGACTCAATTATCTGTCTCTATATCCGTCTATCTGCAATTATTATATCTCCGCTTTATTTGCCGGGCTTATATACAAAAAAAGAAGGCGCCTTGAAAAGACTCGAGTTGCCAGGAAAAGTTAAGATCTTTCGAGAATCTCATGACGTGTTACCAGCGCTGTCGTAATAATACTTTATATCAGAAACTTTTGGAGTTAAATCAACGTTTTTAAAATAAATGACAATTCACAGTTACATCGTTACATGAGAACACATTGTTCACCGTCACATCGTTACGTGAGAACACATTTTTCACCGTCACATCGTTACGTGAGAACACATTATTCACCGTTACATAATTACGTGAAAACACATTGTTCACCGTCATATCGTTACGTGACAACAAATTATTTACCGTTACATCATTACGTGAGAACACAATGTTCACCGTCACATCGTTACGTGAAAACATTGTTCACCATTACGTCGTTACGTGAAAACACATTGTTCTGTTAATTTGTATCTAACTTACCAGTATTATCTCGATATTCCAACTGTTTTTATAAAATAGTAATTCAATACTATATACTTACAGTTTATTATGGAGACACTAACTTTCAATACAGAAAACAAATAAGTACCAACTGAAAGATTTATTTATCTTCAAGTTACATAAGTACCAACTGAAATATTTATTTATCTTCCAGTTACATAAGTACCAACTGAAACATTTATTTATTTTCAAGTTACATAAGTACCAACTGAAATATTTATTTATCTTCCAGTTACATAAGTACCAACTGAAACATTCATTTATCTTCAAGTTACATAAGTACCAACTTATGTAACTTGAAGATAAATAAGTTGGTACTTATGTAAGTTGAAGATAAATAAGTTGGTACTTATGTAACTTGAAGATGGGGTTCACATGTTGATATTCCACATTACTCACAGTTGTATAGGATTAATAGGTTGATACTCAACAATACCCACATTGGTATAGGGTTCATATGCTGATATTCTACATAACCCACAGTGGATCTGAGTTCATAAGCTGATATTCTAAATTACCCACAGGGGAACTGAGTTCATAGGTGATATTCTACATTACTCAAAGTGGAGTGGACTTCATAGTTTGATATTCTACATAACCCACAGTAGAGCTGAGTTCATACTTGATATTCCACATTAGTCACAGTGGTATAAGGTTCATAGGCTGGTATTATACAATATCCACAGTGGTATAGAGTTCATGGGCTGATATTTTACATTACGAACAGTGGAGCTGAGTTCATAGGCTGATATTCTACATTACTCACAGTGGAGCTGAGTTCATAGGCTGATATTTTACATTACAAACAGTGGAGCTAAGTTCAAAGGTTGATATTCTACAATACCTACAGTGGTATAGGATTCATAGGCTGATATTCTACATTACCTACAGTGGTATAGAGTTCATAAACTAATATTCTACTTTACCCACAATGGAGCTGACTTCATAGGTGACATTCTACTTCACTCACAGTAGAGCTGAGTTCATCGGCTGATATTCTACATTACCCACAGTGGAGCTGAGTTAATAGGTTATATTCTACATTACCTACAATAGTATGGGGTTCATAGGTTGATATTCTACATTACCCACAGTGGAGTTGAGTTCATAGGCTGATATTTTACATTACTCACAGTTTAGTTGATTTCATAGGCTTATTCGATGACGTGGAACCCACTTTGAGACTAATAATTGTTGGAGACGGCTTTAAAGGGTAATGAAGAAAACTTTAATATGACCTGATGATGACAAAACCTTGTCAAAACGTTGTACATTTGCTGTTATGTTAAACTTATATTAAAGTTTTCTTCATTACCAATTCTAGCCGTCTCAAATCATTATTCATAGGCTTATATTCTACATAAATCACAGTGGAGATGAGTTCATAGATTGATATTCTACATTACTCACAGTGGTATAGGGTTCAGAGTCAGATATTCTATATTACCTGCACAGCGTGGTCACAAGTAAATAGACACCACCTTTTCAGAAAAAAAAATTAAAATTTTCAGTCATATTCATATGAATTGATATATTTATAATTTAATTAATATCTACTAGATCTTCCTTTCGCTTCGTGGAGTTCGTTCATCCTTTAGGGCATCTTGGGAATCATATCGTCAATTTTAGATTGTGGGATTTTCGCCCACTCTTGCTTCAAAACTTAGAGTAGATCGCTCGTCGAAATTGTTTTTTTGTTGTTGTTGTTGTTTCTTGACTTGCCAGTCGAGTATGGCCCAAAGGTTTTTGATAAGGTTCATGTCAGGAGATTGACTCGGCCAGAGCAACTTCTGGATACCATTTTCTTCCTGGCACTTTTGGGTGTTTCTAGCAGTGTTACACGGTGCTCCATACTCCTGGAACAACGTTGGGTTATTGTCCAAGAAACCCGA